CTGGTGTAATCATTTGAGTCTCAAACGACTTAAATCATTTTCTTTATTTAATCGGGCAAATGGATGGAAACCAGTTGGCCGGTTCAAATAGTTTGAGCGGTTAACTGCTCGAATCATTATCTGAACGGCTAGTAGTAGACGGCTATAAAAATTGAGTGGAACCGGGTGCCAAGATTACTGATTGGACATATTAGCTCGTTTCGATTTTAATAACACTGAATGAAAGTACGAAACCATGTGAAAGTGGAAGGAGAGTGGGGTTTGAATGAAAAGTGGGTGATTAAACTGAGATGGAATGTGAAGTCATGGCTTCCACTTGTATTGGGTAGTTTGTTTTGTGCATTTGAAAAATAAGATTTTGATAAAATTTGAATTTTAAGAAGTCATTTATATATATGAGGGTATTGGTTCCTTATGAACTTGAAAACACCATTATTTGTTTTATAGATTTCATGATAGACTATATTAATTAGATTAGTATGTATGAACTATGAAGCAAAATTTACTTTTATTATCCTCAATGGTATGAGAAGAGAAATAAAATAGGAGTGGTAGATTGGTTCCAAATTATAGATTTCAAAGTTTATGATCAATTTCCACCTAAAAGAATGAGTTTTTCAATCCGGAGAGTCCATGGATTTGAATCCTTAAAGTTGGTGGGTCTCACAGATTTTTTTTATCCCTAAATGCGTTAAGCAAACTATAGAATTTAAACAAAGTTCATGAATTCATCACAAAATCTATAAAGCAAACAATTTGACAATAAGAAGGCTAAGGCTTTGATCCAAAGGTTGGCAATGTGTTCTTCAGTTTAGATGCCTCCACTATAGTAATTAACGACTATCTACAATGTAAAAACTCAAACAATGTCCTTTCTAAGTTGTGAATCGTGATTGTATCTCCTCTAAGAAATTGTCAAGTTAAGTTATGAAAGAGACCAACCCAAGCTTCCTCTTTAATTTAGATGGTAAGAGAGCAATGACCCATGTTAAGTTGATTGGGGGTTGACGGAGGTCCGAGAAACGGTGCTGGTTTATGTGGCTGAGAAAGATTTGTTGAAGTACAGAGGGTGGCTGTATTATGAGGCAGTGGGGAGGAGTGGATGGATGGGGGTTGTGGAGATTGGTGAGACTGAAGGTGAAGGCCATGGGTTCCACTTGTATGATTTGGAGAGTGAAAAGGCTGAGGCTGTGATCAAAAGGTTGGCGGCATTTTTTAATGGAGAGATGCATTCACTTCCTTGGTAATCAACCGTAGTTGGGCACAATGTAGAAGGTGGTTTCCTTTCTAAAGTTGCGAAGCATGCCATTTTTTTTAGTAAATAAGAAAGTCAGTGAAATTTGTGTATTTTAGTAAAATTTAAAACGTGTCACATCTCCCCCAGATTCGTTGTTGTGAAGTTATTGTTTGTTAGAGTAACAAAGAGAGTTTGATCTTGCTCAATCAATTGATCGGATAGAAAGAGAGATAGGAGTAAGACACCTGGTTCTTTAATTTGGATCTATGTTCCTCGTAATCATTTGATTTTATTTGAATTAGACAATTTTGTCTGCCACGTAAGCACATAACGGTCTCAATTAACGAAGATGGACGAAGATTAACGGAGAGTGACCAAACTTGGACTGTTTTACTAAATCTAGTGTCTACGAATGAAATTAAATATTTTTAGTGACTAAACAGGAATGTTTTCAACAATTCAGTGACCATCCTTGCAATTTACCCCAAATTAGTTAGATAGAATCACAAGAAAAGAGTATCTTATACTATTCATCCAAAGTCCAAACACTTATCAATTGTTGCTGTGTTTCTTGCAAAAGAGTAAACAAATTAGCTCTCTTTTGACCATTAGTTTTCAACTAATAAGGGAGATGGAACAATAATAATGATGTCGTTTGACCTTTAGGGTTGGCCAAATTCTAATAGAAAACGGCACTCCTGACATATGGGAGATTTGACTTATTTGCAACAATAAGATTAATAAATTCCCTAGTCAAACAAGACTCATGGATGTGGATGTAGACTATGCTAAGAGCAACAGCAGCCAAAGGTGGGTAAACTAATGCTAACCACGATTAGGTAGATTGATCCCCCAATTAATATATACTAGATATTCCCACTCGCTTGCGCTTCATGGTGAGTTCAAGATAGAACGATAAGTATGTCGTTATGAAAGAATTAGTAAAATGGAGTTCGTAGTAAAATCACTAAGATTTTGAGGGGGAGGTTCGTAGTAATATGCACTCGTTGTCTAATGAATTTATAATTAAAGGACGTCGCTCTACATACTTGGAGTTGGACAACTGTTACTTAGAATATTTACGAAGTTCACACATTGAAAATGGAAAAAGAGTCACTAAGATTTTGAAGGAGAGGTTCGTAGTAATTAATAAATTTATAAATTGGAGGACGTGTTTAAAACGATAGAGTCTGAAAGAGGTGAGTAAGAATGCAAAACCGAATCCAAATAACAAATATGCATAATGACGATAACCCATATTAGAAGATTTATCCGTCATTTTTCTATTTGACCTCAAGCTCGAGAGAGATGACTAAAGACACAAAATCTAATACAAACAAATCGATCATGCATAATGACTGATAGCCCATATTAGAATATTAATCCGTCATTTTTTTATTTGACCTCGAGCTCGAGAGAGATGTCTAAAGAGTAAAGATGCAAAACCAAATACGAACAAATAGATGAGTGAGATTGAACACAATAGAGATGACTAAAATCCAAAACCAAATACGAACACAAATAAAGCAATTTGAGCATACAAAACCATCCACATTCTATAATTAAAAAAATAATTGGAAAAGTGTGGGACCCACTTAAGATTTCTTTTTCTGCATTTCCTTTTATTTTCATAGGATGGTAGTAGAGAGGAAGAAGAGGGAAAATATTCGGGTGTGTCCCACACGATGAACCTTTGCCCTTAGGATTGGGAAAAATCACCAAAACACCGCTTAATGAATAGTAGAAGCAAAATCATACTTTTTATAATAGAGTTTTCATAGGATGGTAGGAAAGAGGAGGAAGAGGGAAAATATTTGGGTGAGACCCGGATGATGAACCTTTGCCCTTAGAATTTAGAGTAATTACCAAAATACCGCTTAATGAATAGTAGAAGCAAAACCATTCTTTTTATAATAGAACTAGATATTTCCGCTGCTGCGCTTCACGCAAAGTGATTAATGTGAAAGGTTACATGTAATTGTAAGAGTGAATACACTAATTCTTAAAGAATACAAACCCAAAAAAATGCAGGCCTAGCTCTCATTTGATGAATAGGAACATCTAAGCAGCTAAATAAGATTTGAGGGATTATATTTTGCAATAAGGTGAAGCAAACAATACAAAATGGACTCGTTGGCCAATATAGGTACCGATTGGGGAACAACAAAACATTTTGGAAATCATTAATGTGGTTCTCTTGTTCTTCAATGAGTACTATTGTAGTGACTCCGTTATCTCACCGTATGGGCGTCCTTGGATCTAGCAAATCGTTAAAGAGATAAATAAAGGGCCAACCAAATATGAACTTCTAGTTCAAATCAATTAATTAATGTGGTTCACTTGTTCTATAGATAAGGATTCAAAAATGGAAAATGTATCATCGAAACACACGTGATTGAAATACGCGTGATTAGATGACCTCTTGTTGAATAGCCGGAATACTCACAAAGGTCAATTTATAAGAATTCGTAAATGGAAATGCTTCACCGATATACATGTTATCCGAATACTCGTGATCGGTCTACTTTTAGTTGAATGGTAAAAAACTAAGAAAAATGCCAATAAGTAAGAATTCAAAAATGAAAAACACATCGTGGAATATGCGTCAAATAGGAACAAAAATGTCAATTTAAGAATAGCTAAAACCCAAGTTAAAAATAAAAGAAATAAAAAAGAGGATTGCTAACAGGTTTTTATAGGCCATATGTGATTAAAAGAAATAGAAAAAGAAAAAAATTAGATAAATAGGTGTCTACTTGAATCAGAGGAGGACGATGTACACATTATTGATGAAGAAGTATTTGTTTGATTTGGAGTTTGAAAACTATTAATTAGAGAATTTACCAACAGATTACGCGTCTAATTCATCGTTAAGATCATATATGACCTCGAGAGGGAGAGATGATTAAAAATGCACAATCAAATACGAAAGCATGTCTCGACGTAGAGAGATGAGTAAACATACAAAATCTAATACAAACAACAAATTGAAATAGGAAAAAAATGAAAAATGGAGAACATAAGTTGAAAAATAAAAAATAAAAGTTGACATGTGTCTCTTTAAAAGGTTGCCATATGTCAATCTTGACCTTCAATTTTGGTAAAATTACCAAGAACCTCTTAATAAATAGTAGATGCTTAACCAAGACTTTTATATAAGAAAAAATGTTGTCTAGAAAGCTGGGAAGCTTGTCACTCTTTTTAGTTTTTTATTTATTTGTAAAGTACATTGACATTGCACCACTCTTTCACTCTCTCTGTCTCTAGCCTATACCAAAACACAATCATAGCAGGATCGGCGGATAATACAAAATTAATACAGTGACCGGTTGCTTATTCGAATGGACTCCTTAATTAATTTCAAGTCTTGGCTTGCTTCTTCATCTCTCGTAATATATATAATCCTTGAGAAGAAGATGCATTGTTTCGTACTTTCCTAACCAAACCATGCCCCACTGATTAATTAGCGTTCCACACCTCCAGCCTGCTTTCGTTCAACTTATTTAGACCTTAATTAATTTGCTGTTGGACCGAACCCCAGACTTTAATCAATCAAATCCTTTAATAAAAGCAGTCAGTGGGTCAATAATTGAAATATATTCCTCTGAGATGCTGACCAACTCAACAACAACACATATTATTAATTAAATATGCGAACTCGTGAATCAGACCAGTACTATATCAATGGCAGCTTACCAAGAGAGAGTGAGCCATCTACTTGCTTTCTACCTTAGTTAATCATCAGCTTCTCAATTCTCAAAAAATGTCTTCCTCCAGTACGGACGGACGGAAACTGGCCAAGGAAATCCCCGGCCACATCCGCATCTACGACGACGGCACCGTGGAGCGCCTCCGCGACACCGACGTCGTCCCTCCCTCCATCGACGCCGGCCCCGGCGGAGTCTCCACCAAGGACGTTGTCTACCTCCCCGAACTCAACCTCTCCGCCCGCCTCTACCTCCCTCAACACGGTGGGAACCGGAAACTGCCTCTGGTGATCTACTTCCACGGCGGCGGCTTCTGCGTCGCCTCCGCCTTCTGCGCCAAGTACCACCGCTACGTGTACCGCATGGCCGCCCAAGCCCAAGCCGTGGTCGTTTCCTTCGACTACAGGCTAGCCCCCGAGCACCCGATCCCTGCGGCCTACGAGGATTCCCGGGCCGCGCTTCGTTGGGCCGTTTCTCATCGGGCCGGAAATGGGCCCGAACAGTGGTTAAACGATCACGCTGATTTCGACCGGGCTTTCTTGGCCGGGGACAGCGCTGGGGGTAATATCGTCCACAACTTGGCTGTTGGGAAGCCGGAGTTTGGGCTTCTGGGGCTTGCTTTGGTGCAGCCATTCTTTTGGGGGACTGTGCCTATTGGATCCGAGCTCGACTTCCCGGATGCGATGGCGAAGGCCGTGGCGAGCCGTGTGTGGCCCTTTATTTCTCCGTCGAGCCCGGACAACGATGACCCGCGGATCAACCCGGTAGCTGCTGATGGGCCGGGCCTGGTGGGTCTGGGCTGCAAGAGGGTGCTGGTTTGTGTGGGGGAGAAAGATGTGTTGAAGGACAGAGGATTGCTTTATTATGAAACACTGAGGAAATGTGGGTGGATGGGAGTTGTGGAGATCCATGAGATTGAAGGCAAAGGTCATGGCTTCCACTTGTACGAGTTGGAGTGTGAGGAAGCTGGGGCTTTGATCAAAAGGCTCGCAACTTTCTTCAATAGCTAGGGAGAATGTCATTGCCACCTCTTGTGAAGGAATCGCAATAATGAGGGGCATATGATGAAACCTATCTTCTATAAATCATTCACGCAATCGCTTTCTAGGGTGTCATTCGCGCTTTTTTGGCGCCCTGTTTGTTTTGTTCAAGTCTCATTAAAATTTCATTTTCTAACCGAGATTTCAACTATCCCTCCGAAATGGTGTTTTCTTTTTGAATAATTTTTTTGTTTTTTTGTTTTTTTCTTTCCTCATTTATGAGAGATTTGATTTGATTGGTGTACTGATCAATTCAGTCTTTATGAATTGTGAGAGGAGCTGTAAATTCATGGTTCAATTCATGGTTCAAACTTTCACGATTTGCATATTTCACTTAGTGTATAAAATTTTGCTTGTTACTTTACCCAAATGAGATGGGGATTCAGAGCAAAATACGACTATATGTTTGTTTGCACATGTGCATTTTAAAGGTTTGGAGTAGGGAATCCATCAATTCTTTGAGATAACATAATTGGCTTGGATGAATTATATTAAAAATAATCAGCCTCTGATTAAAAGGTGGAGGACACCCTTTTATTTCTTTCACTGCCTGCTTGGACTATAGTGGATTTAGAATTTATAATTTTTGTATTCAATGGGGGAACTTTGCCTCCGTTCCCACTAACTTGCAATTAATTTTATCTGGCTACAAATTACCTATATATATTGACCACTTATGATTCGATGAAATCACACAATATGTTGTACTTTGGAATGTCAATGACCTAATTAAATTCATAATGTTGATGCAGGAGAACAAGAATGACACTGCTAATGTTGAAGGTAGTGGATCTGGTGCTAGATATGATGGTGATGTTGAGAAGAAGAAAGACATTGTTCATGAGGAAGATATAAAGACTGGATGAGAACATAAAACAAATCCTAGAAACTGTTCGTAACTTGGATGATGTATGTAAAATTATTGTAATGCGGAAACGAAAATAGAACTCGAGACCAAGATTTACGTGGTTTCCCCGTTCGACATGAACGGGACTAGTCCACGGAGAGCTTAGGCTCTAGGCTGCAACTCTTATTGATTTTGTTCTTCTTTTCTCTCTTAGGTTTTCGGTACAGCAGCTACCAAAACCTTATATACAAGCTAAAAACCCTTCTCAACATGCAACGTAGGGTTTTGTATGGAAAATAGCAAAATGGTCCATAAAATAAAACTAAAAGACTAAATGCTCCTCAACACGCCCCCTCAAGTGAAAGAGTGAATGTCAAGAAGTCCGAGCTTGCCAAGAAGATGATGAAACTGCTCCACACTTAAGCCCTTCATGAAAATATCGGCAGGCTGTTCAGAAGTGACAATCTTCTGAGGCTCAATGTCACCAGACTGCACACGCTCGCGAACAAAATAATAGTCCATCTCAACATGTTTGTTGCGATCGTGAAACACCGGATTGGCAGCAATGTGCAAAGCTTTCTGGTTATCACAAAATAACGGCATGGGACCCGCGGGGACAACCCCTAAGTCACGAAGTAGCCAACGAAGCCAAAGCACCTCACTGATGGTACTAACCATCGACCAATCTGGTGTTGTTGCTCAATAGGAGTAGAACAACGACGAGCTGCCTCGAGCCCGGCCTCTGCCAGTATATCAAGAACGTACTTACGCTGATTAAGAACAATGCCACGAGAACTGCGAGCCACTTCAATACCCAGAAAATACTTCAAGGGTCCAAGGTCCTTAATAGTGAAACGATCATGTAAATAACCCTTGACTTTCTCGATAAAATGAAGATCTGTAACAGCGAGAATGACATCGTCCACGTAGATAAGAGCAACAACATACGTGGACCCACGCTGATATGTGAAAAGAGCATGATCAGCACGAATCTGAACAAAATCAAGGGTCAGAAGAGCTTGAGTAAATTTTTGATACCAGTTACGCGAAGCTTGACGATGCCCATAATGGACTTATGGAATCGACAAACCCGTGTATCACCTGGGCGGGCAAAACCCTGTGGTATTTCCATATAAACCTCCTCATCAAGATCACCGTGGAGAAAAGCATTATTTACATCGAGCTGATGAATATGTCAATCTCTAGTGACTGCCACCGCAAGTAAACAACGAACTGTGACCAATTCGCGACCGGAGCAAAAGTATCATGATAATCTACTCCCTCGATCTGAGTGAAACCCTTGGCCACAAGACGTGCTTTATAGCGCTCAACAGTAACATTCGGCCGGAACTTAACTTTGAACACCCACTTACAAGCTATACGACGTTTCCCTGGTGGCAGTTCAACAAGAGACCAAGTTCCATTAGCAATTAAGGAATCTATCTCCTTTTGCTTAGCGTCGCGCCAGTGTTTTTAGCGGACAGCTTGATAAAAGTGAGTCGGCTCCTCTTCAGCAGTAATGGAGGCCATGAACGCATGATGGGCTTGTGAAAGGCGATGGTATGACAGATAATCCTCAAGTGGATAACGCACATGAGCTGAGTGAGCAGTCCCAGGAATATCAACCTCATAATCTTGAAAGCGCATTGATGGCCTGCGAACATGATCACCGCGACGAGGCTGAGGTGGCGGCAAATCGGTGGGAGGCTCGACTGATGGCGTGGACGATGGAGCTTCAGCGGGTGGCTCTGGCAATGAAGATGGGGCGGTGTCAACATGGACTAGAGGAGAGTGATCCTCAGAAGAAGGAATGCCATCGTCATTCTCAACACTTGAAGAGAGATCATCTGCCATGTCGACCACAGGAGGAGAATCCAGAACAGATTGCTGAGTTGCAGGAGTGGAATGATGCGCATCATCATCATCCATCATCATCATCATCATCATCAAGAGCCGGAGGAGGTTCCCCAAAGTGTGGCAAAGAAACAATTGCTGGAGTAGGTGTTACGCCATCAGGGAGATCACGATATGGGAATATGGATTCGAGAAACCTCACGTCGCGTGATGTGTAAATGACGTGCTTCTCGAGGTCATAGACTCTGTATCCTCATTGTGTAGATGGATACCCAACAAAGATTCCTGCACGACTGCGATCACCGATCTTGTGGAGGCTCTGATGAGTATCCCGTGCATAGACAAGACAACCAAAGCTACGAATGCGAGCATATGAGGGAGCACGAGCAAAAAGCACCTGGTAGGGAGTTCGATTGCTGATGCTAACGAGAGGCATGCGATTAATAAGATAGGCTGCAGTCAAGACACATTCTCCCCAAAATTTCAAAGGAAGATTAGCATGAAATCATAATGCCCGTGCTGTTTCGAGAAGGTGCCGATGCTTCCATTCAACAACGCCATTTTGTTGAGGCGTGTTGGTACAAGAAGTTTGGAGAACAATTCCATTTTCTTCACAGAAGGAATTCAAGACATTAGTCGAAAGTTCTGGCCCATTGTCCGCCTGAATTCTGCGTACCTGCAAATCGTACGCTATTGCGTACCTCTTTAGTCATGGATGTTTTTAATCACCCCTTCACCATAGCATTGCACCTGCGAAGAGCATCTATCTCGAACTCAGTCTGCGCGGGCGGAAGACTACCGTCAACGAAGCAGATTTTATTTTTGGCGATGAGTGAATCGCTGATATCAATCACCCATTTGCCATAGTTCACGTTAGTAAGGAGCTCTCCAACGAACAGGTTACTAGGACTATATGATTGGTGAAGTTAAAGATAAGCAGGGAAACTAGGTTGCGAAGCCATCGCAGTGTCCATGGTCGACTTCGAGCCCTTGCTAACAGATTCTTCACCGCCTGACATTGTAGAAAACTATAGGATCTAATCACAGCTCTGATACCATGTAAAATTCTTGTAACGCGGAAACAAAAATAGAACTCGAGACCAGGATTTACGTGATTTCCCCGTTCGACATGAACGGGACTAGTCCACGGAGAGCTTAGCTCTCGGCTGCAACTCTTATTGATTTTGTTCTTCTGTTCTCTCTTAGGTTTTCTCTACAGCAGCTACCAAAACCTTATATACAAGCTAAAAACCCTTCTCAACATGCAACGTAGGGTTTTGTATGGAAAATAACAAAATGGTCCATAAAATAAAACTAAAAGACTAAATGCTCCTCAACAATGTAAATTCTACTCTAATGAAAAACTTGATTTGTATTTTCAAATATATTTTAGCATCAAATTTTTGTGCTCAATGAAATGCAGGAAAACAAGGAAGAGATAAATGAAATGCAAGAGAAGAAGGAAGAGTCTATTGATATTGGAGATAAATGTGTTAGTAAGTAAAATGAAGACGTTACTACTGGTGACGATGGTCGATGAGGCTGTTGCTCATGCAGGAGGAAATGCAAACAAGTAAAAAAGAAAACGTGTTGCTATCTCTGATGAAAAGGAGTAATTAGATGGGTCGTTTCAATTTGTCTTTAGGAATCGATTCTCTTGCATTGAGTTTTTCTTTTCATTTTCATAAAAAATTTAGTCAATTAGTCATTAGAATATAAGAAAATAGTCTTATGTTAATCCTTTTAAATTCTTGAACTATTTTAATAATAAAGTTTAGGGAATTTGAAAAAATAGATTTTCTTATATTAATGCGCAACTCGAAACAAATCGCTACTGTTATTTACGTCATTGCCATTTAAATTCGGCCAACTGGCCAGGCCCGTGACTAGTTAATCCATATAGGAAAAACAATAAAATGGAACAAATGACACATGCAAGAAAATAAAACTACATACTTAGAATTTATATACCACGGGCCTTCTTACATTCAGTGCAGGAGAGCCGTTTCATCAGCAGGGAAGGGAATTGGAAGTCTTTTTATCATGTTCTTTGTATTGGTTTTAATTCCGTCTCATGTAATGGTCCTTCTTGAAATTTCGACAGACCTGTCAAAAAACATACTCAACTTCCATTTGATTTGTATCTTTGATTATTATGCGTGATGTAACTCATCAATCAACTTTAGTATGTTTTCGCAAACTGATTTGTGAAAAAGAAGAAGGAAAAAATAAAACAATCATTTATCGAAGAATATAAATAGTAGTGTGTTTCTAACTATACGGTTAATGTAAATATAAATTCTTTAGATCATCACCAAAATTAGAGTCGTTACCTGTTTTTCATATTAATACCGATGCACCTTCACCAAATTCTCCACAAACAAAGAAGTTTAACTAACTCTACCTATATATTAGGGTAACAACAAGCACGCACTACAACAATTAAAATTTAAAATAGACATACATGGATATTAAAAAGCAGTGAGTGTTGAAAAGTCTAACCAATCGTACACTTAAATAGCATATACACAAAAATGTTATCTAGTGAGTAGTGACAGTAATACAATCTTTGACCCGGACTGGACCTGGTCACGGTGTGGTGTCTGTAATTTGGTTTTTATTTCGCTTATGAAAAGACACAAATTATGGCCTTTGTACTTCACTCCATTAATTGCATTGCATTCCCCTGATTTCTGTCCTCGATCTCCACCATGTCTCCAGCCAAACAAATTTCCAGAGAGGTGTTCCCCTTTCTCCGTGTCTACACTGATGGAACCGTCGAGAGATACGCCGGAACCGAATCCGTACCTGCCGGGTTCGACTCCGAAACCGGTGTCTTGTCCAAGGACATCGTGATCTCATCATCACCAGCAGCCAAACTGTCGGCCCGTATCTACCGCCCCAAGTTCGTACCCGAAGGCCGCAAGCTCCCGGTCGTGGTGTATTACCACGGCGGAGCCTTCATCGTGGCGTCGCCGGCTTTTCCCATGTACCACCACTGTCTCAACCGCCTGGTCCGGGAAGCCAACGTTGTTGCCGTCTCCGTTGACTACAGGTTGGCTCCGGAGAACCCGCTCCCCGCCGCGTACGAGGATTCCTGGGCCCCCCTCGAATGGCTCGCCGGCGGCAAAGCTCACGAGCCGTGGCTCCGGGAGTACGCGGACTTCGAGAAAGTATTCCTTGCCGGTAATTAATGCGCGCAACGTTTTTTGTTTTTCATATATATAGATTGTAACATATAGGGAATTACAATTCTTGAAAAGTAAAATGCGATAGTGAATCTAGTATTGAGCTATCGATGCAAGGGTCGTTTTTGCCACGTAATGGGCAGTCCTGTCGAGGATGTGGTTTGTACAATGCAGTGCTTTAAAACTTAAACATTTACGTTTTTACATTTTTAAGTTACCAAAATTTTTTTTATATATAATCACACATTTCAGTTACAAGTGTAGTCAAAATTTAGATTTTAAAACTTAAAAGCTTATAATTCTAATAATTCTAAGTGGAATCACGATTTTGACGGATTTTATATATAGTTTTTTTTGGAAAATCATATTGAATATTTTATTTTTTTCACGTATGTTAAAATGAAAAAGAATGCATAATTTGATTTCTAACTATACGTCCTCTTCTAATTTTTATATGCATAAATACGTGCATTTCAAATCCCGTATAATATAATTTATTTATGCACCGATCCTTCTTTGTTTGCAGGCGACAGCGCCGGCGCAAACATAATCCACCACTTGGCCCTTCGACGACGCCGGATCAAATTGGCGGTGGAAATCCAGGGGCTGGTTATGATCCACCCGTACTTTTGGGGGAAAGATCCAATCGGGTCGGAGAAGGCAGACAATGCGAGGAAGGCCATGGTGGACAATTGGTGGACGTTCGTCTGCCCCTCGAAGGAAGGCTGCGACGACCCTTATATCAATCCGTTTGCGGGCGGAGCCCCGACGAGTGTGGAGGAGCTGGGATGCCGGCGAGTGGTTATTTTCGTGGCGGAGAGCGACATTCTGTGCGGCATAGGGAAGGCTTACTATCGTAGTTTAGTGAAAAGTGAGGGGCATAATTGTAAATCGAGAGTTGAGCTCAGGGAAACGAAAGGAGAGGATCATATTTTCCATCTTTATGATCCGGATTGTGAAGCTGCTGCGGAATTGTTCGAAAATTGGGCTTTCTTCATCAACCGCGAATAATGGAATTGTGGTGTTTTGGGCTTGGCCCTTTTTTAATGGAATTGATGGTATTAGCTTTCGACACAATTTGAATTTGATGACTAATTTAGCTCCTCTTTCTAGCTAAAAAGCTCATAAAGGTTATTTTGATCTCAAATCTTAATCAACAATTTAAAATCCCAATATAATTTGGACCAACTGTCTTGTAGCGAATTAGTAAGTGAGGTTTTTGTAAAATCTATAACAATGTGAGATGTTTGGTATTCAAGTTGTCTGGATCGTTATTATCTTTATCGAGCGAACAATGACTTGACCTAATGATTATATCATTAGTATTGAATATTTAGATTGCAAGTTCGAATTTTTTAAGAAACATTTAACCTTAAAAAATCATAATATATGATGTATCATCCTTATATAAAAAAAAACAGAATATTTGTCCAAGTTATGTTGGCAAAGTGCATTTTCTGTGATTAAGTGGAAGTGTGACGTGGTGCAATACCGTCAATTGATCCTCACGCAGAGATAAATCGAAATATATATAATGTTAAACTTTTGTGTTGAGGCATAATAAATTTATGAATGATGATTTACAAGTTATCGATTTGGAGAAAATGATCGACCACTTTAAAAAAGTCACCGCTTCAAAAAATGGTCATCTGCTTCTTGCAAATGGTCGACCAATAATTTTTAGGGTTAATACCTTATTTTGGCCCGAACTATGACCATATAATCAACTTTGGCCCGTGGTTTCAGAAATTAACATCCTGACCTCAACTATGCAGCATATAGACTCAATTGGCCCGACACATAGTTTGACCGTCAATTTGGACGGTCAACTCTCTTGACCGTTAGTCAACACGTCATGTCATTGCCTAGTCAGCCTAAAAATCATTAAAAAAAATGCAAATTCAAATTATTTTTCTAATTTTTCTTATTTATTATCAAATTAACCAAAAATAAATTATAAAAAACATAAAATAAATTTGATTTTTTATTTTTTGAATAGTTTGAAAAATGATAAATTTTATAAATTACGCAAAAATTATCAAATTATTTTATATTTTTAAAAATTCCCACAAAAATCTAATTTATATCATGATTTTTAAATTTATAAAACTTAATTTGATAATTTTTGGTTAATTTATAAAATTTATCATTTTCAAATATCCCAAAAAAATTATTTTATATTTTGGAATTTTATATTTTGGTTAATTGGAAAATGATAAATAATAAAAATTAGGAAAATAATTTGAATTTAATTTTTTTTAATGGTTTTTAGGTTGACTAGGCAATGACATGGCATGTTGACTAACGGTCAACGGAGTTGACCGTCCAAATTGACGGTCAAACTATGTGTCCGGCCAATTGAGTCTATATGCTGCATAGTTGAGGCCAGGATGTTAATTTCTAAAACCACGGGCCAAAGTTGATTATATGTTCATAATTCGGGCCAAAATAAGGTATTAACCCTAATTTTTAATGAAATTGTTGGTTCAGTTCCTCATGCATGGCCAGGCTCTAGTACTCATCATTGACTGGCTATTTCTTTGGTCCAGGGTTCTATTTGTGAGAGCAAGGCACAGTGAACAGAATAAAGGGCAAGCATGTTTTTTGCTTTGGTCATGGCAACACTTCTAACATTGGCAAAATGTGACCAATGAAAGTTGTAGTTTAGTAACGACAAATAATAAATATCATACTCACGAGTATCTAGATTTATTATTAATAAGTTTCGAATTATTATTTAGCATATCAGATTTAGGTTAAACAACTAAAACATCCTAACAAACTACGAAAAGAGTAACCTAACTAATTACATTATAGGAGGCTCACTCAGGTAATGATTCCCCTTAGCTACTAGTTTGAGTAATGATTGATGATTCTCAAACTTATTTCACTGTTCATTCATAGTGCGGAGAGTCCTCAACAAGCCTTGAATCTCGATTAAAGCAATCAATGCCCTCTTGATTCGGTTTCTTAGAGGGATACCATCCTCAACTAAGACAACCAATCAAGGAAATCCACACTAAAACCCTCTATTGGTTGAATTCATACGCAATACAAAGCAATTTATCGACTCTCTCACAAAATTGATTCCCTAGTCCCAATCGATGAGGCCCTATCAACCTAATGAAATATTTTCTTTCCTAGGTCAAAGAAGAAATAAATAATCTCGATTAAAACAAAATTTATATGTAAAACATGCATATATTGGATATGAACTAAAGTTTAACAAGTCAGAGTAATCATACATGCAATTTTCAAATAATAATAAAAAAACATCGCTAAGATTTCTCAAATCCAATGGAAAGAAAGTTAGTCCATAAGGAGGAAAAAGAATACAAAAATATGCTCTTGATCTTCAATCTTCACTTTCAAACTTGTTCTACGAGTTTGAATGGTAAATAAATCCTCCAATTTTCCTCCAAGATCGACCTTGAATTGCTCTCCCCCTCTAGGGTTCTTTCCTTGGGTGCACTACAAAAAATACTATCATTAGTGACAAAAATTAGCGATAACAGCTAAAATTTGTTGCTAATAATGACTTTTACTGACAAAAATTTCTTGTTGTCAGTAATGTTTGGTATCGAAAAATCCAACTCTCCCCTTCAGAACTCACAAAAGGCCAATTTAAACTTGCAGCAGAGGCAAAGTCACGGCCAGAAGTCATGGTCTTGACTTGAGGGCTCAGACTGTGACTTTGAGAAGTGGATCTGCTTTCTTGCCTTATTCTCAAGGTTTGGGAGAAGAATTCACCCCCTGAATCGTGACTCTACCTTTCCTCTCTCTCTCTCTTTGTCTCATTTTTACTTCTAAAAGTCTTAAACTCACTTCTAAGCTCTTCCTAGTGTTAGGACCTGAAATATGAAAAAAGAACTCATCCTAACGTAAAATCAACATAAGAGAGGGCGTTTTCACACCAAATTACCCGGAAACAATCAAGGAAACAACTGCAATAATATGTATAAATGAGCATGTATCTGGTCACCCGCTGAGTTGTAGGGTCTCCCATAATTAGAGATGATAGGTGTCTCTTTTGAATATGATGAGGTGAATAGTTAGTATTAGAAGGTCATATATTTGAAGAAGATTTAGGAAGGTGTTCACCAGTATCCTCTTCAGATTTTTTAAAATAGAGAGAACTTGATGTTTCTTATAATGGCGAGGAGATAAATTATGTATGCTCCTCTTATTTTTCTTGTTCAGGCTAAGAGTCATTAAATTTAACATGAATGGATCTTAAACTTTTTGAGTCCATTTGTTAAGGACTCCGTAGGCTTTGCTTTTGCTAGAGTATCCTATGAAGATAGCTGGGTCAGATTTGAGGTCACACTTGCCTAGGTGATCCTTTGTATTAAGAAAATAGCAATTGCTTCCAAAGGGGTGAAAATAGTTGAGGTTAGGTTTCTTTCCTTTCCAGAGATCTTAAGGAATTTTGTACAGTTTTCCTTTGATAATTAAGAAATAAGAACTCAATTTGTTATGTAACACGGCCCTTTCCAGAGATCTTAAGGAATTTTGTACAGTTTTCCTCTGATAATTAAGAAATAAGAACTCAATTTGTTATGTAACAAGCCGTGTTTACAGCTCGAGCCCATAGATTATGAGGTATATTAAATTCATTGAGCATAATTCTCCCTATTTCTTCTTTATGTATTTTCTTTCTTTATGTTCCGGGAGTAGAGAAGTTGGAATTTATACCTAAGGTATCTCATAAGAGTTCAAAATGACGACTGTCAAATTCACCTACGTGATCACTTCTCGCATTCATTGTTGTGGTGTGTTTGTTGTGTTTCTAGTATGTATTTTGTGATATGCTTTATGATACTTGTGATGATGCACGAGATGCAACATTAATGATCGACACATCACGTATGTACCCTAATGATGACAAGCATGCGTCTCCCTTTACAAATCCACATTAATAATAGTCAATCCTTTTACGCTGTGGGCACAACTGGTTCGTTCGAAATATGGAAAGGATCATATGGACCTCGATCTCCTTAGGCCTGTTCAGGGAAGTTCATTTACCTGGTCTATCATTACTAAGGCGGCTGACCTGCTTAAGAAGGGATGCGCCTGGAATATTCATAGAGGTAACCGAACTAAATTTTGGTCTGATGTCTGGCGGACCCAGGTACCACTTCAGGAGCTGGCGTTGGACCTTATACCCGAGGAGGGCAGGAAGCTACTGGTGAAAGACTTTGTGGATGAAGATGGGAACTGGAAGATGGAGAAGTTCGAATCCATTCTCCCCATGGATATCCAGAGGCAGATCATGGCGCAAGTGGTCGATCCCCTTGCGACGGAAGATGACACGCTGATTTGGAGGCCGACTTCAGATGGAAGTTTTTTTGACTAAGAGCGCATACTAACTTCTTCAACCTCTTACCGATGGCAGCACTCAACGGATCTGGAAGACAATCTGGCGACTCCCGGTGCCGGAGCCAGTTCGATGCTTTGTTTGGTTGGTTGTGCAGGGGAAGATCAGTTCAAATGAGGAGAGAACAAAACGACACCTGATGCATGATGATTCTTGCTATAGATGTTATACCCAGACAGAGACGCTCCCTCATCTTTTCAGGGACTGCCCGCCGGCAGCATTTTTATGGAGTCGCACTACCCGGGTGGATACGCAGCAAGCTTTTTTTAGTCGCTCGTGGGACAGCTGGCTGGAGTACAATCTGAACTGTGAAGAGATCTCGCCAACTGGCCTCCCCTGGAACGTGTTCTTCAGTATAGCTTTGTGGTGCATATGGAAAAACAGAAACGAAGGAGTGTTTCATGGAGTAGACAAGGCTCTTGCTTCCCCTTCCCTCGTCCAGGCAATCAGAATCAAGGCTGAGCTTTGGTTTCGGTCATGGAATGCCCCGAGTCCGCTGATGGGGCGAACAAGGATGGCTCCTCACCGCACCCTTTCCCAAATTGGTTGGAAGCCACCACCGGCTGGTTGGCGGAAACTCAATGTTGATGGTGCGGCGAATGGTCGCCAAGGTATAGCCGGAGCAGGTGGGGTT